TGTAATAAAAATAAATATTAATTTTTAGATGTCATTTGCAATAACATTCAAAATAAGAAACACAAAGGGATAAATTTTTCCAGAGACATGCCAAATCTGTTAAATGAAAAATATAAAACAGGCTGAGAAAAATTAAAGATGTTTTAAATAAGTAGAACAATATTGGTGTTCGTGACTTGGAAGTCTCAACCTTTTGTAACTTATCATTCCAAGTTGTTTGTAGATATAAGATAACCGTCGATAAAAAAAATCCAGCAAGCTATGTAGACATGAACAACTTGTTTTTATGATGCATACAGGAAGATCAAAGATGTAGAATGGCCCACACAATTTTGAAAAAGCAAAATAAGAGACTTACCCTATATATACTCAAAACTTACTATCAAGGTACATTATTCAAAAACACAGTGGGGTTGGCATAAGAATAGGCATATTGATTGTAGGAACAATAGAGAGAGCAGAAAAGTTCTCCACATATATAGTTGCTTGTTTGTCTGATTTTAATTCACCAATATAATTCAATGGTGCTGGAACAAATGTATTGTACATATACTGAACTGATCTTCATCCCTGTCTCAGCCATGTATGCAAAATGGACCTGGACGAGTCTTCTGAGTCTTCTCTTTCACTCTTCTGCTGGACGTCTAAAGAAAATGTTCTTTATTTGGGGGAGAGGGGTGCTAAACTTTCATGATGTTTGAAAGTCAAATTTCTACCAAATAAAAATGTAGAGAGAAATATTTCACCTTGATTATTCAGATTAAGCCTGTCATTTCCCATCAAAATAGTTGTGGTTACAGTAAGAGCCACAGTTTGACTGTGATGGAATCCTGGAGTCCACAGGATAATACAAAACATGTAACTTTTCTCATCAAATCACATGTCAGTTTTGGTCTTTCTCCCTTTCCTTCTTCCTGTGGTTGCCACCCGCCTCCTTCAAACTGCCATAATTATAAGCCCAGCCCTGAGGCTGATGTCAGGCTTTTCAGCACTGGTCAGAGCTGGGAAGATGGCAACTTCCAGCTTTCGTCACAGCAAAACAGTGAAGTCCCCATTGTGAAACATCAATAAGAAAAATAACCTTATGTTGTCAATATTTACTTTGTCTCATAGCATAATTTCAATGTGTCTTATGCTAACAGCATGGCTTATTTTTCTCCCTCATATCAATGATAATTTCCCTCAGGGACACTAGAATATATAGGAAAGAGGGAGAGTGGGTTGGCAGATGGTGTAAAATCTAAGTCTAACATTTTGCTAGCTTGTTTACTTTGCCCCTTTCTTCCTAGAACGAAATGCAAATGAGAAAAGGACCTTAAACAACCTCCAGTTCTAAAGGGAAAGAGGGAAAAACAGGAGGGTATCACTTTCACCAGAAAATAGAACACCATAATTTTCCCGATATAGGCTACAGAGTACAATAAAGAAAAAAATGAAAGATATATTGGTCTAAAGAGACACAAAAATACTGTACTAGTGGTTAAGGTCACAGACTCTGAAACAAAGAAGCCAGAATTTTTTTGTTTGTTTGTTATTTATTTATTTATTCATACAGAACTGGGGTACAGGCCAGAGATGTGGTGGGTGAGAGGATTCACCAGAGACAGAGTAGGGAGCAGAACAGGCAGAATGTTGAAGTACACTGCTGAGGGGAGCAGCGGGCGGGTAAGAAAAGGTCTGCCATGCCTTGTGGTCACCTCTGGGGCAGGCGGGATCCAACTCATGCTGAAGTGGCTTTAGCGTCTTAGTGTTTTGCTTTAACCCGCTGCGCCACCAGGGAGGGCCTAAGAGCCAGAATTTTAACATCAAGCATTCATGCTATGATCTAGGCAAGCTACACAATTCTATGTATCTCATTTTTCATATCAGTAAATAATGAAATGATAATACCTCTCTCATAGGGTTGTGGTAAATAGTAAATGAGCTTATGTGAATCCCCTGAAATGTGCAGAATACACAGTAGATGCTCAGTAAACATTAACAAATTTTTACTGTTTGGTTATGGCAAAGGTGCAGAGAAATAATTTGTGGTAGCCTTAGTCATGGAGTGAGGAGGGCTTGAAACTATGTATTGGAAACCAGTGGAAACACTGGTAATGTACTAGTGATTCACTGGGGTCCTTAACTCCAGATGTGCACTAAAATTTCCTGAAAACCTTGTAAAATTCCTGATATTTAGGATCCAGAACAATTTAATCTAAATGCTTGGGAGTAGGACCAGTTTATGTGTTTAAAAAAGAATCTTCTGTGGGCCCTCCCTGGTGGCCTAATGGGTTAAAGTGCAGCACTACAAAGCTAGCCACAGCCCCTGAAGCACAAGTTCGATCCCCAGCCAGATTGGTGTCCCACATAGCACAGCAGCCCTCTCCTGACCCACCCGCTGCTCCCCTCAGCAGTGTACTTTGTCAATCTGCCCATTCTGTCAATCTGTCCCTTCTCTGTCTCTACTGAGTCCTCTCACCTCCCCATACCTCTTTTCTGTACCCCAGTTCTTGTATGCATAAGTAAATCTTAAAAAAATAATCTTCGGAAGTGTTCTTTAAGGCTAATTACAACTGAGAATCGACAACAATACAAAAAGAATAAATGAAAAGTCCTAACACTGGAAGAAGACATTTATATTATCTCACTCAGATTGTTTCATTAATTTCTCTACTGATCCATTATCTTCTAAAAGTTAGTGTAGAGGTATAAAAGAAAGAACCATACTGTTTCTGTTAGTTCAGATTGGGTTTTTCAAAATACCAAAATACCACAGAGTAGGTGTTTCATATGTACAGAAATTTATTTCTTATAGTTCTGGAGGCTGGAAGTTCAAGATCAGGGTACCAGAATGTCAGGTTTAGTAAGAGTACTTGTCCAGGTTGCAAAGTGGACTTCATATATCTTCATATGACTTCATATATCTTCAGATGGTAGAAAGGCAAACTATTGGCTCTCTGCAGTCTTTCATAAAACCATGAATCCTATTCATGTGGATGCTGCCCTCATCACCTAATCATCTCCCAAAACTCTTCCTCCTAGTATCACATTATGCATTTGGCATCAACATGTAAGTTTAGATGCAATATGATAAGAAGTTTATACCATAAGCAGCCAAGTGTTAGTGAATGCGTTGCTGAGATTCAGGAGAATTTGTTACAGTATTTTGGGTAAAAAAAGAAAAAGAAAAAAAGCCAGAGCCTGGTTAAAACTCTTAGAACTGGGCTAGATCAGGATGTGGAGTGTGAGCACGGAATAGAGTGCTTCTGTAGGAGTTGCAGCTAGTGGAGTCAGAGAATAGTAGAGAGAACTAGAGATATTGTTTCTTTGAGAAAGAATGGGTGTCACAGGACCTCAGCCCCAAGAATAGGTCCTTTGCCCTCTAGGAAAGCACTCACCATGGTACACTAGATGTCGGTGAGCCAGGCAAGGCTTTATTGGGTAGACCCATGCATGAGGGAGCCAGTGCAGGAGAAATTATAGCCTTGGCTCCCAAAGACAGAGGGAAGGAGATATTCAAAGAGAAGTGTCAAGGTAGCATTACAATAAGGTTGAAAACTTATTCTCCATTCCTTGCCCATCAGGCAGGTTTGGGGATGAATAGATAAAGGAATCAATAAGGTTGCCATGGGAACCTGGCCATAACACTGACCAGGGTGGTCAGAAAAGCCAGTCCAGAAGGAGCAGTGCCAGGACACATTCTGTGTCAAAAGCCAATGTCCAGAGCAGCCATCCCATAGATAACTGGTGCAAACTGGCACCACAAGTGAGAAAGACTACAAGACACAGAGCCTCAATTCCTTCCTGTAGAGATAAATATCTCCGGGCTCACCCCCTGATTCCCTGCAGGGTATTTCTGTTCTCAACTCCATCTCTGGTAAATTATTTCACCCCCACACCTCTAACTTCACCCCAAAATTACCCCATCACCCAAAGGTCTATGAAGCTAGTGGAAGAGAGCAGTGTCATATCCTGCTCTGGACTCTCAGCTTTTGCCCTCGAGGAAATCCTGAAAGAATCTTTATTCAGCGTCTAACTTTTTTATTCATCATGGTGTCTCCATGGTGGCTGGGGGGAGGGGAGGGAGAAGGGTAAATCTTTTGGCAGGAGGAGCCAGTCCATGATTTAGTCTACCTGCTCAAATCCGCTTGTGATTTCTTTTACCTAGGCTATCTTATTAATTCAATGAAAACAAGGTTTAACATGAACTCTGAAAACAGAGAGATGGAATAAATATGAAGGTTTCGTGAGGAGGAAAATAAAATGTAAAGTTATGAAGGATAATAGTATGGAATATAGAGAGAAAAAAATTGAAGTCATTGATGGTATGAAGAAAAGTTGAGGTCTACGTGTGGTATTAGTCCGCACCATTGAACGGGAAAGATACCTGAACGCCTTCTTTATGCATTGACCAAATGTCAAAATACTTAGCAAATTGTGTATCGTTTTCCAGTAATAAACGGCCTACTAAAGATTTGTTATAATATATATTATATATTATATATATATTATACAGATAATATATATTATACAGATAAGAAGAAAAGTTCTATTACTTTAAACGTAAAGTGTTTATTGTTCAGGTTACAAAAAAGCATCTTATTCAAAATGTGAAAATAGAAACATCCTCTCCCATCATGCACAAGAATCATAATAAAAGTTGATAGCATCGGAAAGGTGTTACAGACATTATTAATATGAGAGGAACTGGAAATAATAATTTCTGAATGGTAACAAAAGAACTTCACCCATTTTTCTTAATCAATAGACATTATGCCCTTCTTGTTTATCCCTTTCTACTCTTGTTATCAAGTCAAACGAAAGTGAAAAACAGGATCTGTTCTCCTTTCTACCAGAAGAGAGCGCGAGTGTCAAACGCTTAGTAACCATTAGGACCTGGCACAGAGATTGTCCCTGCTGAGAACCTGTAGTCTACTTGCTGTCGCTAAGCAACGGGAGAGTGGGCGGGACTTGCCGTGTGCGTTCCTGCGCGCGATCCTCCAGACGGAAGCGGAAATGTCAGTGGAGCGCGAGTAGGAAGTGGTGATTCTTGGAGTAGAGATGGCGGCGCTTGCTCCGCTACCCCCTTTACCCCCACAATTTAAGAGCATACAGCATCATCTGAGGACGGCCCAGGAGCATGACAAGCGGGACCCTGTGGTGGCCTATTACTGTGAGTCTTTTCGAGTCACCCCGCGTCTCTTAACCGTCCGGGTCCACGCATCACCCCTTGTTGTATGGGGTAGGCCCCGCCCCTCGGCTTGAGCTCTGAGCTCTGACCTCTGGCGGGTCCTGGGAACATCTTGGGACTCCGCCCTCCTCAGGGATCCCTACCTCCTGTCCCGAAAGGCAGAGCTCCAAAGCACCCACTGTCTGTTCTCTTTCGAGCTTAAATGTTTCTAAACTAGCTACGTGCCCTGATGAACTCGCACACGCTGCCCCGCGACTCCCTTCTGTGTCCGCACTCAAGAGCCTCCCACCTCAACTAGGCAATCCCGAAAATTACCTGGGTACTGGAGGATGAGTTCGCGTTAAACCGAAGGTGATGAGACGCAGAGAGGCAGGAAGACAAATTGTAAACAGTAATTTCAGTTTAATTATAACACCCAAAATTATTCAGAAACTCAAAAAAAGTTCTTTGGAGTGTGTCCAACCAAATACATGAACTTTGACTGTTTCCCCTTGTTGCATATACACTGCTTTCCCACCAGTGAACTTTCCCGGGAGTGAGACCTTTGGAGGTAATACGCTCACGGTGATTGATTATGATAGTAAACCCGGATAAGTTTGCTCCAACATTTCCCTTTGTGGTGGAGAGAAACACTCCCAACCGTTTTATACAAACTTTATGTTCCATATAGTTTTTCTGCCAGTAAAACAAGTGACCGAGCAACTGTAACTACTGAAGGCTTTTAGAGTTGAAAAAGTCATGTAATGTATCTTCTGGTATGTGTATTTACAAGGTTAAGCTAAAACTTGATGTCTTGTCATCCCTGCATACTCCCAATGTACCCCCATTTGCGTTTCTCACATGTGCAGGCCTTGAAATGTCAGCCTCTTTTTCCACTTAGCCGGCTGCCTCAGATGTCACCTGTGACTCGTTGATCATCTAACTCAGTGTCAAATGTAAGCAGTAAATTGGTCTCTAAGTTGTCTGTCTCTCATTTTGCTCACTAGGCTTAACAGTGTTAATTCTGTACTTGTTCTTCAAGTTCCTTAAGCAGGGGCCATGAATCATTCATTCAGCATGCATTTGTTGAACTTATCCATGCATCACGCATTACTTGGTTGTGTGGCTACATTTACTGTTTTTACAGTTTACCTACAATAGAGTGAAGTGCCAAGCAATACAGTGGGTTTGTACTCAAAAGATTATGGAGAGAAATAAAAATGCATTTGTGACATAAAAATAAAAAGGATAATGAGGACTAGCAGTAGTGGTGGTAGCCTTGTGGAGGGGATTTCACTTTCAAAGTGATCAGGAAGTGGCTACACCATTCACCTCTGAGCAAAGACTTGAAAGAAATAAAATGCACACTCTGCTGCATCTGGAAAAGTATATTCTCCATAAAGGGAATTAATTGTACATACAACTTTTGTCCTGAGGCAGAGGCTTGCATTAAAGAGGATTGAAGAGATAATTGTAAGTGAAGTGGATAAAGTTAGAAGAAAAGCGGTGTGAGGACAGAAAAGCAATTTCTTCTCACAGTGAACTAGGAACCATTGTTCTTGTGTCAAACTAATCCCTAGTCATGTACTAAACCAATCCATGGATGCTCTATTCCACACTTTTGTGACTACCCAGGAGCCCTTAGTAGCCTGTGTCATTATCCTCTCTATCCTCTTTCTCTAAACACATCCTGGTTTTCTTTATTTAAAAAAAATAAAAATAAAAGAAGTTGTCACTATGACATGCCCCTGAAGTTACAGACCTGTCTGCCCACAGTAGCATAAATAAGTTTGAAATAGTTGAGGTTGTCTATACATCCTTACCTTATACAAACTTTTCAGTCCATTGCAGTATGGCTTTTATGTCAGTAATTTCACCAAATTCCTCTCGCCAGAGTCATGAACATTCTTATTGCTAAAACCAAATAACATTTAAACACTTTTGTATAGGACAAACATTTTAAAGGACATATATAATGTATGTACAAAATTTAAGGAATAATAAAGTGAACATTAAGGTACCCAACATATTTAACATCATTTCAGTAGGTTTCTGCTAATGTAGGCATGAAATAGTTTCTTATTGGATTAAAATTTGCAACCATTGAGTTAGTGACTTTGAGCATCTTTTCATGTGTTAATTAGCCATTTGTGATTCACTTTTGAAATACCTAATTTTTTTTAAAAATTTTATAACAATTTTTACATCATTTTGTGCATTTTTTTTTCCATCTCAATTGTAATCCCCGTGGGTTTCTCATCCCAAGTCACCCGTGTGCCATCACCATAATCCCGTGCACTCACCTCCTTCCCTCCCCCCGTTTTTGATCCCATTCCCCACTCCACCCCCACAAAATGTCTCTAGTATATGGCTGTTCATTATTCTTATTTTCTCGCCTGGTCCATTATACTCCTGCTATGAGTGAAACTATCCTGTATTTTCTTTCTCTTTTTGTCTTATCTCACTAAGCATGATCTTTTCCAGCTCCATCCAAGTTGCTGCAAACATGTGTTTCTCTTTTTTGGTTGCTGAGTAATATTCCATTGTATATATGTACCACCTCTTTTGAATCCAGTCATCTTCTTTTGGGCATTTGGGCTGCTTCCATGTTTTTCCAATTGTAAATAAAGTAGCAATAAAGATGGGGGTGCAGGTATCTTTTTCAGTCAGTGTTTTTGTGTCTTTTGGGTAGATACCTAGAAGTGGGATTGCTGGGTCGTAGGGAAGCTCCATGTTTAGCAGTTTGAGGAACCTCCAAACAGTTTTCCTTAGTGGTTGTACTAGTTTGCATTCCCACCAGCAGTGCAGGAGAGTTCCTTTTTCTCCACATCCTCACCAACATTTGTTGTTGCTAGTTGTTTGAAGATGTGCCATTCTCACTGGGGTGAGGTGGTATCTCATTGTGGTTTTAATTTGCATCTCCCTTATGACAAGTGATGTTGAACATTTTTTCATATGCTTGTTGGCCATCTGCGTGAAATACCTAATTTTTAAAGATTTATTTTTATTTGGAAGAGCTGGGGTGTAGGTCAGCAGTAGGAGGGCATGGAGGGGAGTTGAAGACTTACCTGAGACAAAGTAGTGAACATAGCAGGAAGCTCTGTTTTGAACACACTGCTGAGGGGAGCTGCAGGCTAGAAAGGAGAAGTCTGCTGTACCCTGGCTAGTTATTGAACTCATGCTGCAGTGGCTGGAGATAGCTTGACAGCACTGAGATCTTAACTCCTTATCACCGGGGAGGGCCCTAATACCTATTTTCTTAATAACCTAGACATTAATAATTTATCTTCATTATTATATGCATTTGAAATTTCTTTTTCAAATTAATGGTTTGAGTTGTCACTTTGAAGTCCTTTGTATTCAGAAGTTCTTAATTTTAAAATTTAATTGTTTATCAATTTCTACTTTATGACTTACTTTCTGATTTCCCTGGCCTTGATGTATTTTTATGTACCGCGATTGAGATTTTGACTTTCTCAATTTCTAGGTAGGTGTCATAAATTCTGGAAATTTACAGCTAATCTGTTCAGGTATTGCTTCTCTATTACCTATTCTGTAGTGAAATTTTGACTAGTTATATGTTGAACTTTTCTCCTTTAACTTGTTTGTCTCATTTCAGTTTTCATCCCTTTGTCTGCACCTTGTTCTATATAATTTCTTTAGGTCTGGCTTTCTCTTCGTATGTCCTATTGTGTAATACATTCATTTATTTCTATTTTCATTTTTTTCCCTAGATGTTCTATTTTTATTTCAAATTATTCTAGTCTTTCATTACTATATTGTTTTAACACTCCATTTCTGTACATGCCTTAAAAATACCATTTGCTGTGTGATAGCTTCCTTAGCTTCTTTATTTGGGGGTCAGATTATGCTGTTTAACAGAATACCACAGATGATGACTTTTTACCTTACAGTTTTTGCTCTAAACACACGTAAGGAGTGCTATTTAAACTTCTGTATGCAAGCGATTCTATAGGAATAAATTTCCACATTCTCAACTTCCATATGTTTCTTTCCTAACAAAGCTGCTTTGTCAGGCTAGCAAAGTAGTATGCTGCTTCTCTTTTCCCACATCCTGTTCACAGTTGCCCTTCTTCTGCCTTAAAGAAGAAAGGCATACTGTCATGCCTGGTGAGTACTTTTGTGGCATGTTGCCTGGGGAGAAAGGTAGAAAATTCTCCAGGGTGTCCAAGAAAAAGGAACATTTCAATTACTGGTGTTAGTGAAACGTTCATTAATTAAAACATTAAGTAGAGCTTCTTCTCTTTCCTGTCTTGTATGCAAGAAAATCAACCAGAGCAAAGAATAAGCCTTTATTACAAAGTGCTAATCAGGAGAAAGGAAGTCAAAGGAACATTCTAATTTGGAGGGATAGGGTGAGACTTTTTATTAGAGCAAGGAGGAGTCACCTGGGTTTGTCTCCTTTAGGAATAATAGCTTCAGGAAAGAATCTGAGAAGATGGAGGCATTATTCTTAGAATCCATTGTTTCATCAATTTGGGTTTTAACCAGAGGTGTACAAAGAGACATTCTGGGGCCAAGGTCATGTGCAAAAGGACATTGGGAGAATTATTTTGGGGATAAGGATATGGAACTACCTGAAACTGTTTAGGGTAACTCGTCTTGTTAAAAACTGACCTGTATTTGAATACTCTGAATTCCTAAAATGCTGTAAGCATCTTCATTATATGACCTGACCTTTTTGTTCTCTGCTCATTATTAAAGAATATCATTCCTGAGCTCAGAACAGAAGAGAGATCCTGAAGGGGCGAAGTCTTTTTCATCCAAATGAAAAGCTTATGTGAAAGTCTGTGGCTTATCACAGTTTGAGAATTAAAATGCAGAAATGAATGGGGCCCCATTTCGGTACCTGTTGACATTTATTAACATTGGAAAATTAAAGTCATAAATTGCTGGAAAAATAAGCCTCCATTGGCTGATTGGTTTGACACTGACAACTGCTTTGCTATTTATGTAATATGGTGGATATGTGTTTTCCTATA